GGTTAAGAATACATTGGATTATTTTCAAATACAATTTTCTCCAGTTATTTTATAAACCAGTGCTTTTGAAAATTCATGGACATCAACAATAATTATATTTTAACATTAAAAATATTTACACATACTGCTGAATGAACTTTTACAGAAACATAATTAATTTTGGTAATTACTAAAAACATCAATTTTGTACATTTACTTGTGGTATAAACCTTACATCGAATGAGAGTCTAATAAATTTGCTGAGCACTTTAATTTCTGATGACAACGTCCCCACATCAGTGTGGTATTCCTCAGTGTTATGGCTAATATAAATAACATTATCAATAGCTTTCATCATTGGCCCAGTGGAAAAACTTTTAAAACTGATCTAAAACCACTAACCAAAGACTCCTGGGTTCTGTTAAATGAGAGAACAGAACAAGAAATGAAATATTGACTCAAACACAGCCCATTAACTACATTATAACCTTTCTCAGGCTTTATAATTGCAAAGCTGTCTGACAAATTTACTTACATATTGTGTTCAGTGATTAAAACTACAATACAATTCAAAAGTATGAATTACATTTAATTTACTAGAATGTATAACAATTGAAATTTATAAGGAAAAAGAGAAAAATGTAATAATTAGCTGTATATATAGAACACCTGGCTCTAGTATTCAAGTATTTAATGACTTCATAGAAAAAATATTCTCTAAAACAAATCAAAAAGTTATCTTTATCTGTGGTGATTTTAATATTGACCTGTTGAATCCGAAAAGGCATAAAATGACCGACGAATTCCTAAACACTATGTACAGTTTGAGTTTACATCCTAAAATAACCAGGCCTAGCAGAATTACACCACATTGTGCCACCTTACTTGACAATATTTTCACTAACAATATGGAAAACAACATTGTGAGCGGAATATTAATTAATGACATCAGTGATCACCTACCAGTTTTTGCAGTTTATGACACTAATTATAAGAAAAATCAGCATGAAGAACAACTGAGATACAGACGTGTAAGGACAGAAGAAACTATGAATGCATTTAAGAACGATCTATTAAATCAGGACTGGGACAATGTGTACAAAGAAACTGATATTGATATTGCATATGGCATATTTTTAAGAATATTCATGGAGTTATACGATAAAAACTGTCCAACAATAAAATACAACAGAAAGCACAAATATTCAGATAGACCATGGATCACTAAGGGTTTACAAAATGCATGTAAAAAGAAAAATACACTCTATAGGGAATTCCTAAAACAAAGAACAAAAGATGCTGAAAATAAATATAAAAAATACAAAAATAAGTTGACCAATATTATACGTGTATGTAGAAAGGAGTATTATAGTAAAATATTGAACAACAATAAACATAATATGAAAGGAATATGGGATGTTTTAAACGGTATCATTAAAAATAATTCTGGACAACAAAGTTATCCTCAATACTTTATCGACAATGGCAATATTATGGAAAACACTGCTGATAAGGTCAACAGCTTTAATCATTATTTTGTAAATATTGGACCAAAACTGGCAGAACAAATTCCTGAGTCACTGCCATCAGTAGACTGTAGTGAAAACCGATTGATAGGAACCCTAACTCAATGTTCCTCACATCAGTGGAGGAAAAAGAAATAATTGACATTGTACACATGTGTAAATATAAAACATCTACTGATTGTAACGATATTGACATGAAAATCGTCAAGAAGGTCATTGAAGGAATTGTAGGACCTCTAACATATATTTGCAACTTATCATTTCAGACAGGAAAAGTGCCAAACAAAATGAAAATAGCTAAAGTTGTGCCGCTGTATAAAACCGGGGATAGACGCCACTTCACAAATTACAGGCCTGTTTCTTTACTACCACAATTCTCCAAAATCCTAGAAAACCTGTTTAATAAACGATTAGACAAATTCTTAGATAAATATAAATTACTCTCTGACAGTCAATATGGATTCAGATCAAAAAGATCAACATCTCTGGCATTAATCGAATCAATTGAGGAGATTACAATGCTATAGATCAGAAACAGTATGCAGCTGGAGTATTTCTGGATCTCAAGAAAGCATTCGACACAATCAATCATGACATATCGTTAGCTTCATAGCATAAGTGCCTAAGTCATTTTTTGGTCAAATTGAGATTTTTGCCTAACTTTACTCCCCTACCACTGCTGCATCATCCTGTCCGTCTGCACTACACAAAAAAATGCACAATTAGGCATTATGCATGAAGCTAACGATATTAATTAATAAATTGGAACGGTACGGGATCAGGGGGGTTGTACTGCAATGGGTGAAAAATTATTTAAGTGACAGGAAACAATTTGTGAAGCTGGGTGTCCATTCCTCATCATGCTTGGACATTGCTTGTGGTGTTCCACAGGGCTCTGTACTGGGTCCAAAATTATTTATTATTTATATAAATGATATTTGTAAGGCATCTGATATATTAAAATTGGTATTATTTGCAGATGACACAAATATTTTTTGTTCTGGGGGGAATCTAAAGGAGCTGCTGGATACAATTACTTCAGAAATGTGCAAAATTAAAAAATGGTTTAACAGGAACAAACTATCGCTAAATCTAAGTAAAACTAAAATTATCTTATTTGGGAATTCCCTTAGAAATGCACAAGTGCAGATTCATATCTCTCTCTTTTCAACATGTTCAAAATAAAGATTCAATCAATCAATCAATCAAAATGATCAATAAGAGATAAAGGCAGAAGTGGCATAATATATCATATAACTGATCAGCTGCCATGTCGCCATTTTAAGGTAGAGTCACTGAAACGGCCTGATATGAGAAATGCTGAAAACCAAAGAAAGGAAGATATGTTCTAGGAACACACACACAATGGGATCTTTAAAATAAGGTAGCTTATCAACATTTATTCCTTCATTTCATAAATACTGAGAAAATCTGACTGTCCTCTGTGCCAAAGGTAAGGCAATAAAAAGTCTTGCTCTCCTTAAATGCTATCAGTAATGCAATCAACATTGCAATAACTAGACAAGTTTATCCATGACTAAGTCACAGAGCATGTCTCCGAATAGCGTCACACCTGGTTGTTTACAGGTATGCTCCAGAGCTGTAATCATGCAGCTTGCCTTTTGGTGCCAAATGTGAAAAGACAGAGCTGTAGCTGGCTAATAACACTCTCCCTTGCATTCAACCAACTCAGCAACTTGGTTACAGCTTAACAAGCTCTTAATTACAGCGTGCAGAGCTCCCAAACATTTCAGCAGCTCAGGCAGAAAACGTGATTAATTAATTGGATGTGGGGAATGTGTCTATTCTAAGGATGAGAGAAGGTGTGTTGTTCTTGGGTGAGAATGCCTGGCTGTCAACAGCAAGCCTGGGTACTGCGAAACCTCACACCAAAAGCAAGTATTGTTCCATTTTGTTCACAATATTTATGGCCTTACAAGCATTTTGTCTCAATTTAGGCAGCCCTTTCAAGCCTGACAAGATCACTAGAGGAAAGACAAATGGGTTGATTTGTGGAGTATAAACCCCATCTCTTTCTATTTCAGCAATGCACTGGCTTGTCTGTCAAATCCAGTTCTGCAGCACACAGACAAGAGTAGAACATCTTCTAGTGATTATTAACGGAAACAGCCAGCGAGCTGGAACTTGTTCCACTGTTTTACAGAGAATTCAGACACATGACTGTTAGCTTGGCCTAACTGTCAAACACTGCAAAAGAACACAATGAGTCAGATACAATGCTGAAAGCCCATGACTCAATATTTCCTTGTTGATTGCTCATTCAGATGAAACTACAATAAACTCTGTATTTATGTCGATAATAGTAGCCTCTGTATCTACAAATATCATGTTCATGGAAATATGTGGCAGGTATGGTGCACTCATATTTGTTTTTGAAGGAAAAGTGTTGCGGAATGAGGAAGCGATAAGGAAAGTTTGAGCAATGCCAGAAAAGGCAGATATACATGAAGTCCGTGTTCCTTGTGAGTCTGATAGAGCAACCGTATGATGGGAGAAAACACAGACTTACAAGCCCCCCTCCCAGCCTTTGTTCTCACCATTACTCTTTGTGCATTTGTGGGTGTGTGAGCGAAGACAAACAATGCTGTCCCGCACAGTCTGGGTGCTATAGTATAGAGTGAAAGAAAGCATGGAAAGGGGAGGGTTGGGTGGTATTCAAACTGTATGGCCTTTTCCTTTAAACTGTGTGTGGGAAGACCTCCTGGGGCAGACAGACACGCCATTCCTTCACCCACAGACATTATATTATACCAGCCCACAGAGGCGATGCAGATGAGTGAGGAGGGAGGTGTGGGCAAGACTGAACAGAGAAACTTTTCAGAGACGGGATAAAGATGGAGGGAGGGGTATTGTAAAGTAGACGTGCAACCACTTGCCACTGCCCCATCAGTTCTGGTGAGAATTATGCTATTGCTCAGCTCAACTAGGAGCAGAAACTATTATGAAAGAAAATTGCTCCTTTATTTTTCTTTACTAAACTTTACATTTAAATTGAGAAGTTACATTTATAAGTAATCTGTCTCTGATGGCCAAAAGTTTCTAAATGGAAAACTGTAAAGTTTACAAGTAATAAGCAGAGGCACGCAAAAAAAAAAAAAAAAAAAAAAATCTAAATCCTAAATAAATAGAGTGTGTAGCTGACATTTTAGGGCATGAACACTGTCCTACATTAAACAAATAATTTCCTCCTCATTTACAACAATCTACTTCTGTGCATGACAACACACATAAACATCAACAACACCGCATAGATGGATGGGGAAAAAACGTGACTTTCATTAAAATCAAGTGACTCAGGAAAAAACAAACAAAAAAAATATACTAGATGGAGCTCAGCGATCAACTTCCATTGGCCAACTGCAACGGTGCTAACGTTCCCGACGTTTACACGAATGTGCACTTCAAGTTATCACTAGTTACGTGAAATTTCTAATAAAAACAAAAGGAATGAGTAACAACATTGTGTTTACTTACCCAGAATACAATGTTGAATCCAAATAAAACGTATTTCACACAGCAGCTGACTTCGGCTCCTTTAAAATGACGGTGTTTTCTACTCATTCTTCCACGGAAAGTGGTGGCTAACTGACGAGCTAGGCAACTACTATGACTGATACTCAACCAAAGCTACAGTTCTTAAACAACTGAATACAAGGTTAGCTGGCTCCATCAGCTAAGCAAACCCCGCGTTAAGTCTTCCGGGTTGGTTAAAACTCAGACATATGTGGCTAAACTGTCTTTAACTCGCTTTGACTATTAGCTTGCTAGGCCAGCTAGCTCGCAACTTCTATAGTTAGCATTGGCTGCTAACAACAACAAATCCAGGAGCACTTCAACTAAGGCACACAGATGCGGCTCTGCAGCTCCGTCGACATTCAAGTTGCCTGGTGTTTACGTCGCTTCGCTTGCCGGATGATCGAGATGGCGGTACTTCAGCTACACCTCCCTAATGTTATCTGTGTCGCTGCATCGCCGCTTGTGAGTCTTCATCCTTGTTGTTTTGTGCTGTAAAACAAGCCCCTGCTGTCAAACGGGAAAACCACTGCGCTGGCTTTCGCCCTTTTCACTTCAAGAGCGGCCTCTTGTGTCTCAGCCTAGCTTGACCACACAGAGAATAAGCACTGTATGTACGAGGTTGCTTCATTAAAAGCTGCAATAGGAAGTGGCCAGGTTTATAGTGTGAGTTCAAATTGAAGGAGTGCACAGTAATTTAAAAAAAAAAAAAAACGGGACAGGACAGTATGAGTAATGATATTACCAATCATGTATAATGATTAATAATTAGCTAGATTCTAGCTCATTATTTACACCTTTGCCTACACCTGCCACGACGCATTAAAATATCTGCAGTGAGAAAAGTCGATTAGGAATGACACTCTAATAAACTGGGGTACTCAAGCGCAATTATATATTCATAATTTCAGCCATAATGTTCTGGCATGACAGGCTGAGTAATTTCACTCCTTTAAGTAAGTCGGTGAAGGAGAAATATAGATAACTGCAGAATATTGTGAAAATGTTGTGAAACGTGATCAAATGAAAAAGGAAGTGAACAATCTGTTCTGAACAACTTTGCCTCATTTGAACTTCTGTCTGGAGTCCTACAGATGGCAGTCTATGATCCTGCGATAAATGCATTTCCTTTTCACCTCTGGGTGCTCCACTCTGGGGCATGCCAACCTTCTAACTATTGCCAGAAATGTGTATTATGTTGTACTGACAGTAAACACAGCATAAAACTGTAAAACCAAACAGTATTAGCCTGCATTAGCTATTAGCTACATGTAATATTTTCATCCGGTACTCTACTTTTTCTCAATATGGCATAAACCCGCACCTAATAACAAGACAAAGACATATTATGAAATTACAAATACACTGTCCACATTGTCATATAATTTTAAAGGAGCAGCTGTTAAAGGGCCTTAATGTTGTAGTGATACATTTAAGTATATTTATTGGCCGATAAAGTTTTATTGATTATAGAATAAAAACACTAACTTAACATTGTAAATGCGGATATGTTACTACTTACCTTCCGTGACCAGCTTCACATTTTATTTAGATACATCATAGCTAGGGAAATGTTACTCCAGCCTACATTATTTTCAGTTCCCAAAAAGTTGATTCAGTTCATGAGGATGTAGTGTTTTCAGTGGGAGAAACGTTTCGCCACTAATCCAAGGGACTTCTTCAGTCTCAGCTGACTGCAGGTTTCCACCACCTTATAAACAGTACACATATAATGACTGAAACTAGCACCACTGATGAACAATGGCTGTAAGGTCAGTTTCTTGATCGTTAATATGTAAATTGTCATGACCATTGATCAATGACCATTGATCAATGTACCATTCACAGAGAGTTGGGAAATGGCTGCAATCATAGCATTGAAAGATGTACCCTTAGGCCCCTTTCTTGATCTAGGTCTTTCCCTTTTCACATAAATGGAATCCTTGACTACCCGTTCAAACCAGCGTTCCTCCCTGTCCAGGATGTGAGCATTCTCTTCATTGAAAAAGTTGGCACTACCCCGTAGGTGTGAATAGACTGCAGAGTCCTGGCCTGACGAAGTAGCTCTTCTGTGTAGTGCCATCCGCTTAGCCAGAGGTTTTTTGATTTCCCCAATGTAAAAATCGTGGCAATCCTCCTGGATCTTAACAGCGTACACTATGTTACTCTGTGCGGGGGACCGGATTCTTGGGGTGGACCAATTTTGAGGCAGTGTGTTTCGGGATTTAAAAGCGACAGAGGGGGGGTGTTGAGAAAAATTCATCTCAACTGTTCTGACACATAAGGGATCACTAAATTTAAAGGATGCCGAGAGCATCCTTTAAATTTGTATTTGTATTTGTATTTGTATTTATTTATTTATTGTCATTGTCAGAGAACAATGAAATTGCATTTGGGGCTTCCGTACAACCCGTAAATAAAATAATGAAGAAAATAATAAATACCCCTTAAAACCCAAGTGTAAATATTTAACCCAGTGTGACTCCAGTGCAATAAGACAATCCTTAGCAACAACATGAGAACATGACAAGTAAACATGAAATTTTGCTCAAGGCCTTCTTGATGTGATGTTTTTCTGCTTCCCTGGCTGCTGTACCTGTGGGGACGGTGTTCGTCATGTGTTGTAGCGTCCTGATGTCACCCAGTTTGTGTTCCAGTGGTTGATGAGAGTCAAACCTTAAATATCAATCCGTATGTGTAGGTTTACAGTACACATCAACTTTTAAATATCCCCATTACTCATGGAAATCTCACAGTCTTTACACTCAAGTTCACATCAAGTTCGCCAGTTCTGTGAACTTGTTGTGTTGGTCCACCGAGTTTATGTGATCAGTGAATTGTGTTATGTCCTGAGATTTGATTTTCACCCAGGTGTCATCCACATACCTGAACCAATGACTTGGTGGTGTTCCAGGGTAGAATAACGGGCCCTCTTTTTTTAATTATATTCCTCATTAGGGTGATGGTTTTATAAAAAACAATAGCAAAGACAAACTGAAAATATTTAATCTAGTGTGGCATTTTTTTATTCTGCATAAAATCATTCAAAGATCATACAGTTATGCAGCATGGGTTATAAAATGCAGGCATGCAATCAACCCC